AGTTGTTTTTAAAAACAGTTTTGAGTAAGGGTTTCATGGAACTCAAGCTGGCCTTGAAGCTGCTAGGTGGCCAGAGACAGTCTTGCGCTTGTGAGCACCCCTCATCCACACTACTTACATTGAGATTACAGGCATGCACCACCAGGTGGGGCTTTATGAGGTGCTAGAGACTGAAGCCAGGGCCTGTGACATGTGAGACAAGATTCAAGCAACTGAGCAACGTACCCAGCCCTGTTAGACTGGCTGTTGCTTCTTTTTTCTCCTCCTCCTCTTCCTCCTCCTTTTCTTCCCCCTCCCCCTCCTGCCTCTCTTCCTCATCCCACTCTTCCTCATCCCCCCATCCTCTTTCTTCATCCCTAACCAACATGACTGTTAAGAATCACTCAGCTTAGCCAGGCATTAGTGGCGCACACCTTTAATCCTAGCACTCGGGAGGCAGAGGCAGGCAGATCTCTGTGAGTTCAAAGCCAGCCTGGTCTACAGAGTGAGTTCCAGGACAGGCTCCAAAGCAATACAGAGAAACCCTATCTCTAAAAAAACAAAAATAAAATAAAATAAAGAATCACTCAGCTACAGGTAACACCAGCAGCAAACAAACACAAAACACTGGCAAGCAGTGATCAGAAGTTTCTGCACCACACAGTGCAGAGGAGTCACCTGAGCGGCCTTGAAGGGCCAGCTCCTTGTCTTGCTCTGCTCTGTTCTGCCCGTGTGCATCTGACCATTAAACCCACACCACAGCTGCTGCTCAGAAACAGGAGCAGAAGCCAGAACCTTCTGAGAGCCATCACCTTTCCCTTCAAGAAAGAAACCCTCAGAAAGTGTAGCCTGCATCTCCACAGCCAGATCTGTGTGGCTGGCCAGCCCTGGCAACAAAGGAGGCTAGAAATTCGATAGCTTTGTTTTGTAGCCTTCATGGTGCAAGAGGTCATGGTAAAGTGTGCCACACATGTATTGAGTAGCCTGATTTATGTAGGACATTCACACATGACCTACATAATCACTCTGCCCAATCACGCCGATCAGATTAACCCACAAGTCTCTGGTCTTGCCAAGAGAGCCCACCAGATCTACTCCTTCCCTTTTGGCTTCATAGCTGTTTTCTTCAGCCAACTTGATTTTTCTATTGTTCCACTCTGTTCCTTTCAAGACTTCCATTCAAGTGGGGTATGCTCTACCATACCCAGACCTGGTGTAGCCAGGATGCCAGCATTCTGCAGCTGAAGGTGTGTTTGTGTTAGACTTGACTACACAAAACAGGTTAATGCCAGAACTAGACCTTAGCCACAGGGAAGTTTCCTTTTCTTCCCCCCAAACAGTCTGGGTTAAGGGCTTGGATGACTAGAATGTTCAGTGCCTTGGGTTCCTGCATGTTGTCCTACTGTCTTCCACCTACAGTTTCCTGGTCATTCAATTGCACTGGGCTAAATAACATATGCAAACAGAAGGCAGGGGCTTAGAGAAACTAAAGATGAGCTATGAAGAGTTCTTCTAAGTCAGTCTCCCCCCCCCCCAGTTTTGTTTCTGTGAGACAAGATTTAAATAGTATGTTTATACTTTCTTTCTTCACATTATGGTCAAAAACATTATGTATGGTGAAAGGGTGAGAGACAGGATCTATCTTTTTTTCTTCCACATGCCAACATCCAGTTTTCCCAGTACCATTTATTGAAGGTGTCTTTTTTTTTGTTTTGTTTTGTTTTGTGGTGTGCATTTTTAGCTTCTTTGCCAAAAATTAGGTAACGGTAACTGCGTGGGTTTATTTTGGGAGTCTCTGTTATATTCTGTTCAGTATTTCTGCCAGTGCCACTACCATGCTGTTTTTCTTACTGTGGCTGTCTAGTAAAACTTGAAATAATGTATGGTAATATGTCCATCATTTTTTTTTTTTGATTGGGTTGCTTTGGCTCTCCAGGGTCTCTTATGCTTGAATTTTACATTTTTTTCTACTTCTGTGAAGAATGGATTTGGGCTATTAATGGGGCTGCATCGAGTCTGTATTTTGCTTTTGGCAGTATAAACATTTTCACAAGGCAAATTCTTCTAGTCCATGAGCATGAGGGAACTTTCCATCTCCTAGTATTTTCCTGAGGCAATTATAAATGGGATTCTCTTTCTTGTTCTTCAGTATGTTTATTTGTTAATATGAAGGCTACTGATCTTTGTATGTTAATATTGCATTCTGCCTCTTCTAAAAGTAATTATCATATCTAAGAGTTTTTGTAGGGGAAGCTGTAGCCACGACTTCTTAGGGGCTGGCTACAGGTGTGCCTGGCCATGCTTGTGAGGGCATGGTCAGAGTGACGTAGTGTGACTGCGTTGGCAGTTTCGGTTTCTCTTTGCTGCTTGCTGTACAGGCTGCTGACCCACCGGCTGGCTAGGTCGCTCTGTAAGTAAGGCTTTTCCCTATTAAATACCCTTATATTTCTACCTGACTCCGTATTGGTAATTTCCCACTATAAGTTTTCTGATGGAGTCTTCAGGATCTTTTGTGTATAGGACAATATTATCTGTAAATAAGGATAATTGGATTTCTTTGTTTACTGTCTATATCCCCCTTATTTTTAGGCTTTTTTTTTTTATTGATTCTTCGTGGATTTCACATCATGCATCCTGATCCCCATCCCTTCATAGCTTCCCTCTGCCCTTGTAACCTCCCCCACACACAAAATAAAAGAAAATTTAAAAGAAAAACAAACCTTTTCAAACATCTGATATTACACAGAAGCTCTTTCGGGTCCAATTCAGGTGTGATGGTCTTTATGGAACATCTATGAGGCATTCATTTGGTGTTGAGTGAGGAAGTACAACTCAAATTGGCTTTTTAAAAGGAGGCTTTAAAGCCAGGCGTTGGTGGCACATGCCTTTAATCCCAGCACTCGGGAGGCAGAGGCAGGCAGATCTCTGTGAGTTCAAAGCCAGCCTGGTCTCCAGAGTGAGTACCAGGATAGGCTCCAAAGCTTCACAAAGAAACCCTGTCTGGAAAAAACAAACAAACAAAACAATACAAAAAGGAGGCTTTATTGACTTACCTGACAGAGATGTTCCAATAATGTGGTTATCAAATTGCAGCTGGATCATTATCTTTCCAGATTGAGATTATATTGTCCTCTATGGCTAATTAATTCTTTAGATTTTTTCTTGGGATTCACGAGGATTTTCAACGTCCAGGCTTAGCAGCCCCAGAGAAGGAGAACCCTTTCACAGTGATTTCCATAAACACTGCACACAGTCACTCACTAGGCAGGAGTTACGTCTCCTGTGTGAAACCTTTTCTTGATGGGAGAAGAAGCTGTCTCATTACCGGTGCTGTCCTCATCCCCGGAGCACTGCTAGAGTATGGGAGCTGGAGGGGGGGGGGTGACAGCCTCATATGGAATCACATGGCTAGAGAAGAGAGGGTGTGTGGATTCCAGAAAGTTTGAGGATGGGGCTATCTGGGATGCCAAAGCTACTCATCCCAGCACTTCCGCTCTCAGATTTACTCTTTTCTGTCTGACACGTGTCACTCAGGCTGCTCATGGTTGCTCTTTATCATCATACTCTCCTCCCTCCAGTTTTTTTCTTTTTGAGACAGAGTTTCACAGCGTAGCCCTGGCTATCCCAGAACTCACCCTGGAGACCAGGCTGGCCTCAAACTCACAGAGATCCGCCTGCCTCTGCCTCCTGAGTACTGGGATTAAAGACATGCACCACCACTGCCTGGTTCCAAATTTCAATTTATAAATCCCTTTGGGGTGTTTGCCAACCAGGTGATCAAGGCCATTCAAATTATTTCCAGAAGAGAGATAATGGGTCCTGGGTAGAGTCTTCAGAGTGTCTCTACGAGAAAGAATTATAGAATCTGATGGCTTATTTTACGGACCTTGAAAGTCATTTTTGCACTTTAAGACTTTTCTTTGCAAATCTGCCTCCTTACTAGGAATGTACTAATGTAAATCAAAACCCTACAAGCACGAACAATAGACATCATGAACATGGTTGCTTTAACTAAGGAAAAGACGTTTGATATTTTCCTAAATTTAAGTGGTTTTTTACAAGATAGATATTTCATTTTACCTTTCTGTTTACAGTACCTCTCTGACTTCAAATACACACTTTGACATCCAGGATTATGGGAGAAAAGAAATTTTTTAAATAACAAATTATAAATTCCCACATATAGCATTCATTGAATAGCATGTTAAGTTTTGATTGTCATGTTTAGAACAATCACAGTTACATGAAGCTTTCAAATGTTTCGTTTTAAACATCTGTTCTGTCTTTAAATAATGCTATACCTGTTCTTCAGGAGTGGCCAAGGTGGTTGACGCAGAGTATTGACAAAGGTGATTTGTTGGCCCTGTCTAAGAATTCCTATGTAATTTGACTAACAAGAAAGATAAAGAAATGAAAACGGTGACGGTTTTATCTGCCTGATATAGAGTTGGGTTTGAAGCCAGTGAACCTAGTGCCGAGAAGCCACCTATAACCCCAGCACTTGGGAGGCTGAAGCAGGATGCTAATGAGACCTGTTCAACAAAACAAAACCAAACCCCAAAATCAGAAAACAAAACAAAATGGAAGAGACGTTGGCTTTGAAATAAGGGTAAAAGAAATAATAAAACGAAATCCATGTGATTAAGGATTTCGGGACCACGTGCTTGGCCGGGAAGTCCTTTAAGGGCCCCGCCCTTCTGCTTCCGGGAAATCCCAGCTCAGTTTCCGTCCTGGAGGTTGGGTCCCTGGCTCTCCTGACGCCCTGCCCTGCGCGTGGCTTGTGCGATGACGGTTGCTGGGTCCCTGGGCCGGTGAGACTTGCTAAAGGAATTGTAGGAACGCCCGGTTTTCTCCATTCTTCTGCTCCAGGCCCTTGGGTACTGATCCTCCAGTTAGCTAAGGAAGGCCTCCTCCCTTCCCTTCCCTTCAGTTCATTTTTCACTTGGCTCCATCGCGTCTCCTTCCTGATTCATTTCTTTGCTCTCCCAACGCGTGTCTCTGGTTTCTCTTTCTCTCAACAGCCCTTGCAAGTAAGAAAGAAGAGATCTTTTTCCATCAAGACCGACGGCAAAATTAACCCACTGTGCAGATGCTGTTTATACAGATGGCGAATCTGGGGAGATGAAGCATCGCGTGCACCTGTAATTGCAGATGTGTCCCAGGATTGTTTTCTGATTTCCAGAAGGCTTTTGTTCCTTCCCCCACACCCCTGACCCGGATTCCTCTTGGACTTATTACAGTGGACAAGCAATTAACATCAATGCTTTTGAAGGATCAAGGACTGTAATTGCACACACAGTGAGTGTGTCAGGCAAAGCATTCATAAGTCCCGGCGTGCTCTGTGGCGGCGTTGGTCTTGGAATACTACCCTGTTAAGATGTCTTAAAAGCTTGTCACCGTTAGGTTGTAAGGTTCTCTGCAGAAACACAAGGTATCTTAAGACTGATAACAAACTCCTGAAAGATCAGGTAGGTTGAGCAATGTTAATACCATCAAAAAGAATGCTAAGTAATTGCCTTTAAAATTGTCTTTGCATATTAATAGTTAGAATCCAGTCATATGTATACTTTTTCACCCAGTACCTCAAACCCCATGAAAGATCAAAATGATTGATGGAGAGATGTAGTTGGCACCTAGGAAGGGCATCTCTCATACTTCTGATTTTTCACAGGAATAAATTGTATTCAGTGAATCAAATAATCGTGGAACAGTACCAAAAAAAAAAAAAATCTTACTATTGCCTGTGGGGAACTCATTCTCCATTTTCATCATCATGACGATGAAAGGTACATACAGAAGCTGGGAAGATAACTTAGTCTACAGAGTGCCTGTTGTGCAAACAACAACAACAACAACAAAAACCCAGAATTTGAATCCGTATCCCCTACATATGCCAGGCATCATGGCATGTATCTATAAAACTAGCTTGAGGGATGAAGACAGATGGACAGCCAGTCTAAACAATGGGTGAACCCCAGGGTCAATGAGAGACTCTGGCTCAAAAAAATAAAAGGAAGCAACTGGGTAGATAATCCAGTGAGTAAGAACATTTTCAGTGTAAGCATGACAACCTGAGATCAAATCCCTGGTTCTCAAAAAAAAAAAAAAAAAAAAAAGTTAATCAGCCCTAGTAATTAGGGGGAAAATCATAAGGCATCATATTATGTCTATCTATCACCTATCTATGTAAAACTTCATTTAGTATATATAAGTATACACTCACACATACATAGTTTAAGTGAAATTTTCCCATCTGGAATGACAGTGCATATAGACTATCTAACAAAATCCCCAAATCAAGCATGAGAAGCCCCTCGATTAAGTTGTTGGTTGGGTTGTCCAAGAGACTTCCAAAACTTTACAGGCTATTGCTTTTGCCCTTGGTCGCATCCCAGAGATGAAAATTGAGTCCCTGTTGCTGAAGACACCATGCACTTCAGACATAGTACATTGATGACCTGACCTGGGTGTGACCTGTAACCTTCCCACCTGAGGAGTAGCTAAGAAATATCTCAAAGAATGTTCACCATCCCCAGTAATTAGGGAAAAACAAAGCAAAACAACTGAGGTTTCACCATATCCTGATCCGCATGGCAAAGATCACCAAAACAACAATAAATTCTGGAGATGTGGGGAGATGGAAGCCTTCATTCATTATTTTTTCCTTTTGACAACTCTCTGTTCAGATCCTAAACCCATTTTTGAATGGGTCATTTTTTTAACGCATTGTTTTCGGAATTCCTTATATATTCTGGATATTAGCCGTCTGTCAGATGCATAGTTGGCAGAGTCGCTCGCATTCCATCGGCTTCCTCTTCACAAAATTGTTTGCAGAAACTTAGTTTTATGAGGGCCCACCTGTCAGTTGTTGGCTTTAGTTCCTGGGAAAATGGGATCCTGTTCAGAAAGTCCTTTCCTCTAGGGTATTGCCTATGTTTTCTTCTGGCAGTTTCACATTTCAGTGCTTGGTCTAGTTAGAGTTACCGTGTGTGTGTGTGTGTGTGTGTGTGTGTGTGTGTGTGTGTGTGATGATATATACAGGTATAATTTCATTGTTCTGTATGTGGACATGTAGTTTTCTCAGCACTATTTGTATTGCTTCAGTAGATGGCTGTAATTATGCGTATTCATGTTTAGGTCACTGATGTCAAGAAACTCAATCTCCTACAACTCCAGCTCTAGGGGGAGTCGAGTACCTCTGGCCTCTGCAGGCACATGCACACACATGCACGAACCCACATGAAGATACAAATGCATATAACATAATTTAAAAGACTCCTCCTGTTGCTTTCTAGATTTAGGCCATTGTCTTTAGAGAAAGCATGTGCTGCGGTTTCTACTTTTTGAATTTGCTGAGGCTTTTTTTTTTTTTTTATGGCCTGACACATCCTTGAGCATATTCCCTGATGAGACTAATGAGTATTCTTCATCCAAAAGGACCTTTTGATGAAATCTGTTTGGGATTCTTTGAAATTCTTTGGTCTGAGCACTCATTATGTCTTCTCAAGTTTTGTTTCTGTATCTCATTTTATACTTTTTCTATGCCTTCCCTCTTTTCCCGAAATGTCTATAAATTAAGTTCTAAAAATGTCTGTTAGGTCCATATTTGTCTAATTTTGAAGTTCCTTAATTGAGGTTTGTCTTGCTATAAGTGGAGAGTTGCGCTCCCAGATTTTACTGGAAGTATTTTATAATTGGATAGTGGAGTCTTGGGCACATATATATTTACAATAATAATATAATTCTCTTTTTAAAATTTGATCTTAATCATCGCATGGTTACCTCTCTGTCTCATTGCAAATTTTGTCTTAAAGTCTACAATCTGGTATTATCTCTTCCATTTTGTTTTTGTCTTGAATAAAATATCTTCTTCCTTTACTTCCAATCCTGGTGTCTTCACTAATGACTTGAGTTTTCAGTGAGCAGCATGTTTTTGGGCCATTGGTCCTCTGTGTGTGTATTTAGTCAACATAAAACTTTTAACCTAGAAATTTAATGTATTTATCTTTTATTTTATTATTATTATTATTATTATTATTATTATTATTATTATTATTATTATGGTTTTTCGAGACAGGGTTTCTCCGTGGCTTTGGAGGCTGGCCTGGAACTAGCTCTTGTAGACCAGGCTGCCAACTCCTCCTCAAGGATAGTGAGGCCCTCCAGGGGGGACCTTCAAAGTCTGTCATATCATTTGAGGGATGGCCTAGGCCCTCCTTGCTGCATCTGGGCTGCAATAGTATTCCTCCATAGGGAATGGGCTCCCAAAGTCCATTTGTGCTCTAGGGTTAAAGACTGGCTCCACTGTTAGAGGTCCCATAGACTGTCTTGGCCTCCTAGCTGGCACCCACATTCAGAGGGCTTGTTTCGGTCCAATGCTGTTTCCCTAGGTTTATGACTAGGGTCTCCATGCTCTCAGTAGGTCAGGCCAACTGTTTCAGCGGGTTTCTCCAGCGCTGTCTTGGCTCCTTTGTTCATCCCTCCTCCCTCTCCACAACTGGATTCCAGGAGTATGGTTCAGTGCTTAGCTGTGGGTGCCTGTTTCTGCTTGGAACAACTACTGAGTGAAAACTCTAGGAATGGTAACCAAGGTAGACATGAATCTCATTATAGGGGAAGGGCATCCTCTCCACCACTGTCTGGATTCTTAGTTGGGGTCATCCCTGTGGATCCCCTAACATTTCCCCTGTTCCCACCCCCCCCCAGTGCTCCCACTTTGCTCAGGGGTTCTTGTCCCCCTCCCCTTCTTCGAGGGACTATGCAATCTTCTCTTTGGGTCCTCCTTATTTCCTAGCTCCTCTGGCAGTGTGGATTGTAGACTGGTAATCCTTTGCTCTATGTCTAAAAATCATATATGAGTGAGTACATACCATGTTTGTCATTTTGCAATTGGGTTACCTTGCTCAGAATGGTTTCTTCTAGTTCCATCCATTTACTTTCGGATTTCTAGATTCCATTGTTTTTCCCCCCCGCTGAGTAGTACTCCATTGTGTAAATGCACCACATTTTCTCTATCCATTCTTCAGTTGAGGGGCATCTAGATTGCTACCAGGTTCTGGCTATTACAAATAATTCTGCTATGAACTTAGTTGAACATATTTCCTTATTATATGAATGTGCATTCTTTGGGTATATGCCCAAGAGAGGAATTGCTGGATCTTGAGGTAGACTGATTCCCATTTTCCTAAGAAACCACCATACTGATTTCCAAAGTTGGTTGTACAAGTCTGCACTCCCACCAGCAATGGAGGAGAGTTGCTCTTTCTCCACATCCTCTCCAGCATAGAGTGTCATTGGTGTTATTGATTTTAGCCATTCTGACAGGAGTAAGATGGTATCTCAGAGTTGTTTTGAGTTGCATTTTAATCTATTTATTATCAATAGGTAAAGACTTGCTTCCAGCCATTTTTTTCTGTTTTATGTATCTTTTATTCTTTGTCTCCTGTTTTATCTTTGGTTGTATTCTGTATTTATAAGATTTGGTAATTTTTTTCTTTTGTGTGTCTGCTTTACTGGTGCATTTTATACTTTTATCTATTTTAATTATGGTATGTTATCTTTTATTTCTTGTATATAGGACCCCTTAAGCATTTGGGAGGTGGGGAGTGTAAGTATGCCTGTCTTGTGGTAATGAATTTCCTGAGTTTTTACTTTTCATAGAAACGCTTAACTTCCAGAGGTCTGACTGACTATAATTATTTTAAGTTGGCAGTATTTGCTTGTTTTTGAAGGAGGGTCTTGTTATATATAGCCCAGGCTCTCCTCACACTTGTGACCCTCCTGTCTCAGCCTTCCAAGGGCTAGGACAGCAGATGTGCAGCACACCTGTGATGGCACTGTTTTCTTTTAGTGATGTGAATATGTCACCTTATTCTCTTGGCTGTTGGGATTAAAGGTGTGCACCACCACTGCCTATCTTCTATGGCTAACTAGTGTGGCTGGCTTTGCACTCTGATCTGCAGGCAAACTTTATTTGTTAGATCATAACCAAAATATCACCACAGCAAAGCTCTCCCTTTTATGTTTTGGGGTTGCCAACAGGGTAAGAGAATACATTTTTAGGGTTGGGATATTCTCAGTGCCAATGTCTATGCTGGTGCCAGGCATCATGTCCCTGCCTATGTGTTGCCACGGTAAATGGCTCTGTTCCTTATTGCTTACCCAAAGAATGCACTTTGACCATGAGATGTAACTCTTGTAGCCTTTTTTCTTATCGCCTCAAGCCTCCTGGAAAATGTGTATTTAAGCTAGGTGAACAAAGAAGCAAGGGAAAATTGAAACAGAGAATTGAAGCTGAGAATTAGAATTGAGGAAAGAGAATTAGAAGACAGAAGACTAGACAGAACAATACAGAGCATGACCAGAACAGCACATGTGTGAATGTATTCTGTACCCCTCAGATAGAAAACCCTCAAGCTCAATTTCACTGTGCTATGGAGCTTTTCTTTGAACCCTGGGAGTAGCCTTGAGAGCTGGACTTTCAATATCACTTTAATTTTCTTGAAGTCTCACAGAAGCTCGAAACACACTAGTTAGTGGCCGAAATAAAGAACTTATTATCTCCCGTATAATTTTGATATGTTTCCCATTGATATGGAACTGGTGAGAAATAATATATTTCTCTATGTCAAAAACTTTTAAAAAGTAGGCACTTGGGGCCAGTGAAATGGCTTAGCAGATAGAGGCATTTGCCAACAAGCAGAATGACTGGAACTCATCCCCTGGGATCCACTTAGAAGAAGAGAACTGACTCCAGCAAGTGGTGCTCAGACCTACGTATGCACATGGATAAATAAATGTAATAAAAAATTTTAAGCTTGGATTTGTAGCTTTGGTTAATAACCTTAAGTGACTATTTTAAAAATATATTACTCTGTGTGTGTGTGTGTGTGTGTGTGTGTGTGTGTGTGTGTGTGTATGCACGCATGCACTTGTATACATGCATGTCACAGCACACATAGGAAGTAACTTCTTTCCTTCTACCATGTGGTTCCCAGGGATTGAACTCAACTCATCAGACTTGGCAGCTGGTACCTTTACTCACTGAGCCATTTCGATGGCCTTAAGTATTTAGATTTTTTTTTCTGTAGACTTGGCAATGATAAAATTGTAGTGTTTAAATATTGTAAACATTAATGTTACTTAACCAAATTTGTTTTCATATGGATTTATAGATTTGCCTTTTCTTTCAAATTATTTTTCTTTTAAATATCAGCATGTATGGCACAGATTTAGACAAGGAGGTTAATAATTCCCAACCGCCTACAGTTGCCGAACCATCTACAGTTGTCGAACCATCTACAGTTGCCGAACCGTCTACAGTTGCCGAACCATCTACAGTTGCCGAACCATCTACAGTTGCCGAACCATCTACAGTTGCTGAACCATCTACAGTTGCTGAACCATCTACAGTTGCTGAACCATCTTTGCTGAACCACAGTTGCTGAACCATCTACAGTTGCTGAACCATCTACAGTTGCTGAACCGTCTACAGTTGCTGAACCATCTACAGCTACTGAACAGTCTACTATAATTGCTCAGGTAAAAACTTAAAATTACACTGTAATATAGAATGTCTAAATCCATATTGAGTTCTGGGGAGACGGCTCACTGGGAGAGCATAAGGGTCTGAGCACCCACATGGAAAGCCAAGTGTGGTGCATGTACTTAGAAGCCCACACACCAGGGCAGAGACAGGCAACAACTAGCCTTGCTGAAACAGAGAGACTCCCGTTCACTGAAAAATCCCAGGCTACGTATCAAGACACCGTTTGTTTGGTTCTTTTATATAGATTTCTCTTAGGTGTATCTGTAAAAAGTGAAAAAATATAATTTTGAAATAGCTATTAAATTTTAATGGGTTCTAGAAAATGAGCAGAAAGGACAAGAAGAGGAACTACAACAGAGTGTTTTGGACCCAGACAGGGTAGGTTTTTAGGAATAAGGCAAATATGGCATGCTTCCTTCTGTGTGGTAGAAAGTCTCAGCAATTGAAATCAACAAAAGTTATGTATTTTGAAGAAACCAGAGGGACGGTTGTCTTCTAAGCACATAGAGTAGGCCATTAAGCCTTTTGTTAGTCTAGTTTTACTAAACAATTGTTTATAGTTAGAATTATAAATTGCTGTTTTTTTAAAAATAGAGACACCAACAATTCTTAAACCAGAAAGCCCAATGTAATATTATAAACATCCCACCTTGCTTCTCATTGCTTTATCGGTAATTAATTCATTATAGTCTACATCCATTTATGGTGCACTCTGAAATTATAAGGTAGGATGCTCTGACTTACTGTGTATGACTTGTGACTTTCCACAACCCTAGTAAAAGCCAGCTGCTGTGCTTTCAGCATTCCATACAGGAGACTCCGGAGAATACCTCTCCCCCAAACACAACAGACTGGTCATTAGCTCTGAGAATCTCATCTCAAAGAGCAGCAGTGTGTGTACTTAGCAGTCAGGTGCAGTGTTGGCTCAATTCATTTTAACCCTCTGAGCCCTCGGTTATCTGTGCAGCCTAGCCTTCCCTACATTTATGCAGAAGTGCACGCAGAATGTTAGCAGCACCCTCAGTGTTGGCACCTCTGTCCACCCACCCATCCATCCATCCATCATGACAATGGTATGGTAGACACAAAGGCCACTCACTATTCCAAGGATACTCTGGGTTTGTTGTTGGAATTGTTTGATTCCCTCAGGAGAAGCTTCTCTGCATTCTCAGAAACCACAAGTGTTTCACTAACTCAGCCGTTTCGTAATTACATTAGCATTCGAAGGTTGGGAGGGAGGACTGACATATACCATAAATTATCAAAATGTTATGTAGAAATATTAGTGGAGGCAAGCTTGAATTTCTGAGAATGTGGCCTCTGCTGTTCTCATCTTTTCAGTTATATTATTTTTCATACTTAACTTTGCAATTTAGTTATATTTTCATTTCAGGAAGGTTTCAGCGATTAATCTGGGGAGATAAAGAAAGGGTGGACAGGCTCAGTTTTTGAGCCTGCACTAGAGACTCACTTGTTCAGGAGTATATAAATGAAAACAGTGATGGTGGAGATGCAACCGCATTGACTTGGTTCCTTGCAAAGCCTGCTGGGGCGTCCCCTCGTTTTGAAGCGTGTCATGTGTGTCCCCCATGTTGACAGTGATCCCAATTCAGTTGGGAAATGTAGCAATTGCCTACATTCATAAAATTATGTGGAGAGCACAGTTCTTAAAAAGAGTTCTTGTTTTATTTCAGATTGCCCGTGATCGCGGTGATGTTCCAAAGGAGGAAATGAAGCAGCAGGTGAACAGAAGAACAAATCGTTGTTGTCCTCCACAAGGAACACTCAATAAAATAATTACAGATGGTATGTGAAGTAAAGGTCCCCGGGGAGGAAATGAGAAGTTTCTGTGCCTAATAAAATGCAGATAATAAGGCCACTGCAGAAGATGTATATCTCAGATGGCAGGCTCAGTTCTGAGCAATATGTAGACAAGTATTTCCTCATCTTTTTAAAACCAAAGTATTATTTGATTTATAGTTTATTCTTTTTCATGTATTCTAATGTTAAATTTGAGGGTTAGAAGCCTCATTAAATGAAGATGTTTATTGGAGGCTTCCTTTTCATGGTCTTAGCTAGAAGTAATATTGTCCCTGACAATAATAGGTTCTTAATGTTAGGCCCCAGATTTTAAAATAGCTGTGGCCTTATGTAAAATTTACATCTTATTGTTGCCAAATATTCATGAAGAGTTTTTTTTTCTTATTTCTTTTTATTTATTTCTTTTTAGTGCAGTGGTATTTTGCCCACATGTATGCCCCTAGAATTGCAGTTACAGATAGCTGTGGGCTGCCAGTAGATAGTGGAAATTAAATCTAGGTCCTTTGGAAGAGCATCCAGTGCTTCAGCTCCCTGGTTTTTTATTTCTTTATGAATATTCTCCATGATTAAACTCAGAGAGATTTTGACAAGCAGCTATATATAACCCTATATAGAACAAAAATTAGACTAAATATAGTGAAGCGTAAATAACTGAGCTTTTATTTTCCATGCATTCTTACTTGTTCTTTGCTAACTTTAAACTTTCTAAGGACTGCGAATTAAGCTTTTCTCTGCACTTGAAAAGTCCTCGTGTGACTGTAAGTTACTGGGCTCCTGTTGTCATTGTGCTTTCTGCACATAGCTCTTCATCCGTTTGCTCCCATGACCCTGTCTACTTAGCGGGTAGTTTCTAGAGTGTGGCTGTTACAAGAGAGGAAGAGGGATGTATGTACGGCCCCCAAAGGTTACCCTTTTCAGGCTGGATTGCAGGCAGAGTTCACTACCAGCACTGGAATGTCAAACTTAGGTCAGTGACATAGTTTTCCCTCCACTTTTCTTTTGGTTTTGGTTTTGTAGTTTTAGGAACATTTGTAGAAAAAAGATTTCATGGCTTTCTCTTTTTCAAGCCTCTCTCGTTTTCTTTTGTATACACATCACTTAGGTTCTTACCGGTTCCTTAATACATACTTCCAAATCAAATTCAGAAACACAGTAAGATTATACATTATGATCAGGTGGGCTTCATTTTAGAAAGGCAAGGTTGGTTTGACTTATGCAAATCAATAAATGTAATACACCATACATATAAACTGAAGATAAGAAACCACATAATCACTTCAGTTGATGCTGAAAAGGACATTTAAAATTCTTTAGAATAAGAAAAAACAAAACAAAACAAAAACAGTCAAACCTAGAAGTCCATGAAAAGGACTCAACAACAGACGAGGCCCAGCGTCGGCATTAAAGGAGAATGTGGGTCACTTCAGCGGCTTTACTTTGAGAAAGGCGGGATCTAGTGTAAAGAGAAGGAAAAATCCCTGGGATCTGCAGGCAGACTGAATCGGTCCCTGAGGGCCCTGGGATCCACTTTGCTGAGATTGCTGGGCTATTCCGGCCCCCACAGAATGCAGAGAGTGCAGAGGTGAGCTGATTTGGCCCCTACCTTGGGCCCAACTTCCATCTGCCCACCTGGCAAACCCTGCCCAGGGATCTTCGGCAGGATGACTCTACCCCTGAGTACCAAGCAACCCAGAGTCTGCGGACATCTCTGCGCCAGTGCTGCTCTCACCCACCTGGAGAGCAGTGCCTCAGACCTGCCTGCACCCAACTTGAAACCCATCAGAGTATCAAAGTCAATTGCACACACCTGAAGAGAACACCGGACCCATACACACCAGGAAAGGAAGTGACACCAACTGTACCAACTGGAACAAGAGATGGGAAGACGACAATATAAGAACACATCCAACAACAGGAAAACCAATATGACACCCCCAGAGTCTAGGGACTCTACACCAGCAAGACTTGAACATCGCAACACAGAAGAAGCAGAAGAGAGCAACCTTAAAAACAACTTCATGCAGATGATAGAGAACCTAAGAGAGGAAATCAGAAAATCTTTCAGAGAAATGGAAAAAAAGACAATCCAAAGGATGCAAGAAATCAAGGAAAGCAAAAAAAAAAAAAAAAAAAAAAAAAAA